GAAAATATCAGGTACTATATTTTTCGGACTATAAGACGCACATTTCTCCTCCCAAATTTGGGAGGAATAATGATTGTTAATGCTCCTGTTGAGTTCTGTTTACATTTACATTGGTGAAATATTATATTATTTATGTTATTAAATATTTTACTACATTTTTTGCTTCAAAATTTTTCTCCCATTTTCCTCCTCTAAAACCTAGGTGTATCTTATAGTCTGAAAAATACAGTAAGTTCAAAATGAGGAACAGACTATAAAATATCTGGTCGGTACTATTCAAAAGTGACAATTCAAAAACACAAAAGTGAGGAACCGTCACAGATTGGAGGAGACTAAGAAAGCATGACAACTATAGACAATGTGCAGTTTTAGATTGGATCCTGGGGCAGAATAAGGACATTAGTAGATGGTGAAATCCAGATAAAGTTTTTAGTTTTGTTGATGGTATTGTACTGCTATCCATTTCCTAGTTTTAATAATTGTACCATGGTTAAGTCAGATGATGTTAACATGAGGTTGTACAAGAAGATAGATGAGGGATATGTAGAAACTCTGTAGTATTTTGCAATTCTTCTATAAATCTACTATCATTTCAATATAATCTTTTTTAAATGTACAAAAGGTTTGAATAAACACTTTACCAAAGCCCTGGCTGGTGCAGCTCAGCAGATTGAGTACCAGCCTGCCAACCAAAGGGTTGCTGGTTCGATCCCCAGTCAGGGTACATGCATGGGTTGCAGGCCAGGTCCCTAGTTTAGGGGGTGCATGAGAGGCAACCATACATTGATGTTTCTGTCCCTTTCTTCCTCCCTTTTCCTCTCTCTATAAATAAACAAAATCTTTTAAAAATAAACCATTTACCAAAGAGAATATACAGATGTCAAATAAACACCTGAAAAGGCAATCAACATCATTAGTGATTGGGGAAATGCAAATTTCAACACCAGTGAGATCTACTACATACTCATTCGAATGGTTAAAATTAAAAGACTGACCATGCCAAGTGCTGACAAGGATGTGAAGCAATATAACTCTCATACGCTGATGGTAGGAATGTAAAATGGTACAACCGCTTTGGAAAGTAATTTGGCAATTTTAAAAAGGTAAACATACATCCACCATACAAGGTATTTTACCCAGGAGAAACGAAAGCATGTGTTCATACAAAGACTTGTGCACAACTGTTCATAGAAGCTCTTTTTTTGTAATAGTCAAAAACTGGAAAGAATCCAAATATCCATCAGCAGGTTAATGGATAAATTGTGGACTATCCATATACTGGAATACTATACAGCAATTAAAGATACAAATGGCAACATACATAAATTTCAAAATAACTGTTCTTTGGAGAAAAAGCCAAACAAAAAGAATATATCCTATATGATTCCAATTATATAAAATTTTAGAAAGTGCAACTAATGCATGGCGGTAGAGAGCAGGTCAGTAGTTGCCTAGGGAGAGGGGTTTGGGAGGAAGTAAGAATGAATTACAAAAGGGCATTTGGGGGTGATGAATATGTTTGTTATCTGGGGTGTGGTTATGGTTTTATGGGTGTACACAGATGTCAAAACTCATATTGTATACTTTAAATATGTGCAGTTTAATGTATATTAATGATATCTCATTCAAACTATGAAAACATGTGTGCTTGGGCTCCAGGAACCTATAAGAATAGAGTGGTCAGTTTCTATAACCTCATACCAGATACTAACTCAGATCCAAACTAGGTCTGGGGTGGGACATATTTCACCAGCTACGGAGAGGCAGATAATCACATGTATCCCCCTTTCGGTTTCCCAGAGATGAGGATTCCATGCCCCAAATCTGGCATCCCTAGAAGGTATAAAGCAAGTGGTTCCAAATGCTGGGAGAGACAGTAAGAGCTAAAGGAAATGAGCAGTGTCCTATAGTTCATGTGCTGGAGGATGGTTTCCCTCAATCCTTGGCAAAGGGTTTGCTGCTGGGGCCAGTTAGACATCTTTATTTTTAACTCACTCTGAGTTTCACAGAGGAAGGTAACTCAATTGAGTCTTTTCTACAGGATGCCTCCAAACCACAAATTCCTAATTCCTATTCTGGTTTATTCTAACAAGAAGTAAGCAGATCAATTCATCCCTGTTTAAAGGGCCCTTTTTATTGAAGCATAAACTCTGGGCAAAGGGTCATAAATCACTCTCTTCCTGGGTGTGTGCAGGACTAAGAACTGGCACACACAGGTAATATTATTATCTTGTCTGTTTTCCTTGTAGACACATTCCGGTGAGCCCCCTGGACTGGGACCTTCCTGCCCCCCTCTCCCCTAGATCTAGTCTCCACTCCACTCTGCTCTGCATCCAGAAGGAGGGGTGGGGCCAGTACTGAGTTATCACCCTTGCCTCTGGCTTCCAGCTGGGTGTGGCCAGTGGGAGGCACTAGTAGGTAATCAGAGGATAGGGGAGAAAAACAGAAAGTGGGATCTCCTAGTGACTAGTGTTCTATCTAAGGCCACAGCCGTGGTCAGGAGCCTCCTGTCCTGTGACTAGAGCTTCCAACTGGTTCCAGTGCAGCTCCCCTGCCTCTCCCTTCACGTACAGGCTGGGTACGGCTTCCACTGTTCCAGTCCGAGTGCCCCACCCTCTTTGGCTCATTCCCTTATTCTAGGTTACACCTTCGTGCAAGTTTCTTCTTCAGCTTTCAATCAGCCCTTCCAGGGTGTGATCCCTTTCCTTCTGTAGCTCTGACTGATACATCTTCACAACCCCCAAACCACCTCAAACGTGATACTCATCTATTGTCTTTATCTCCTAATGGGGTACAATTTACTGATAACACCTACCCTCTTGGCCTTGATGCTCCTTCTATTTCTTCAACTCTTCCTCCCCAGGCTCCTGTTTTCACACATCATTTGCTTACTGGCCAAGTCTATGTTGACATTGTTTCGCTTAGAGATGAAGTCATCTCCTCTTCATCACCCAGCATGCTACTACCATGCTCTTCTACCCAGTGTCATCTCCATATGCCCAGACACAAAGCCTCAAAACCAGGTGACAGTGAACCTCTTCCCAGAGGGACCCAAGGGGAGCAGCCCCTAAGCCTCCCATGTAAACACAATTTTTAAAAAGGTGAAACCCGTGTGCTTGCTATGCAAATAGAGCCTCAAGGCAATCCCCTTCCAATGAGTAGCCATCCTTAAACCCCTCCTCTACAGAAATTCTGGCCCCACCTCTGCCTCCTCTCTTTCATCATTCCCTTTGTCCAAGCCTGTTCACTAACCTCCACAGGACAGGACTTTCTCCTTTCCATTCTAGGGCAGGGCCTCACTGTCTCTCAGCTGTTGCCAGAGTCTCCCCATCAGTTCCCTCCTTTCCCTCTCCTGCCAAGATCCCATCCACACAATGCCAGCCTGGCAAAGCACAGGTCTGAGCAAGAAGAGCCTTCAGTGGCGTCCTCAGGCCTGGGAAGGCCTGCCCACTCTCTCACTTCTCTACCCAGTGTGTAAATTTTTATTGTGGAAGAACTGGGGCCACCTGATAAGCAAGCTCAGGGGAGGCCTGTGAGGCAGCTTTACACACTCAGAGATCTAAAGTAACCACAAAGGATGGTCTAAAGTTAAAATATTAATTGAAAGCAATTTCTGGCGGGTGGTTCTGTCCTAGGCCAGTATTTTTGCCTAACGAAGGTCAATTTTACTTTAACTAAGTCTGTCTATCGTCTTTTGCATCTGTGATTACATACTTTTGGAATGTCAAGGTAACTTCCTTTTTCCCCAACTCCTTGGGCACAAGCTGAGATCACAAATCCCCCCATTGTTATTGTTATTATGTTAATTGTTGACTGTTAACTAACCTTTACCCACTTATGTAAAAGATGCGTCTATCATTTCAATTTTTATTCAATCCCAGAGCGTGCCACCCCACCCCCCACCCACTTTCTCCCGCTTCCCTTAATCTATCACCAATGGCTTTCATGTAAACCCTTTCAGGCTCCTCCTTTGATTCTAATGTATAAAATAAGGTGCTAAACTGCCATTCTCCAGAACATTTCTCAGTCTGCTGAGTTATGGCTTCCCGGCAATTGTTGTCAGTTTCGCTCAAATTAACTCACCAAAAATTCTCTACAGGTTTTGAATGTTTCTTACGTTGACATTTTCAAAAGTTCTTAGGTAAAATTTTTTCTATTTTTTATTTTTTTTAGTTAAAAAATGTTAATGCCCTTCTTTGCTTTGAGCTTCAAAGCTTCGCTCCTAACACCAAAATTTACGGAAAACTCTAACTTTGCGTTCAACATCACGCTTCCCTCTGCCCGTCGGTACCTTGGCTGAAGTCTGAGGATGGCAGTGGCAGCCCAGAGGCAGGGATAAATAAAGTGTCCACAGAGGTTTCTACCAACGAATACTGTGGCCGGTCCAGATGAGGAAAGGTTTGGAAAGAGGGTGCGGGAGGTTCCAGCTGACCCAGCCCAGCGCTCCCCGGGGCTGCAATCATTACAGAGAAGACTGGCAGGGATTCAGGACGGGGTCAGGATCAGGAAGGAAGCCGCGGGAACTGGGTGGAGACCGCCACCCACAGCGGCCGGGTCTGGCAGATGCCGACCCATCCTGCGGGAGCCGGGCCTGGGGGTAGCGCCTCCGGGGCTGCAGCCGCCAGGTCGGTCCATCCCGCGCTCTCCGGTCCCCGGCCGAAAGGAAGTAAACAGGGTGTTCCAGGCGGGTCAGAAGTCCCCGCGGGAGGGCCGACTCCCGGCCAGGAGGACCCCCACCCACCACGCGGGACCCCGCAGAGCCCGGGCCGCAAGAGAGAGCGGCCGGCGGGGAAAGGGCACGGACTAGGGCGGGGGAGCGCGGGGTGGGGGTGGGGGCGGGCGGTGCTCCGGCGTCGGGGGCGTGGCGGGAGAGGGCGGGCCAGGGCCTTCCCCAGACCCCGCCCCCGCCGGGGGCGGTGGGACCCAATGACGGACAAGCCTCCGGGCCGGTCCCCGCGCGCCGGGCAGTCCGGAGGGCTCGGCCGGGCGGGACGCACCGGGGGGGCTTCGGAGGGACCGGGTGCGGGCAGGGAAAGCCTCTGGGTGGGGCGGGGCCTCGGGAGAGAAGCAGCGCTTCCAACCAATGAGAGGCGGCAGCCGTCCCGTTAGCGCCGGATCCCACCGGGGCGGGCGGGGCGGACGGCGCCGAGGGGGATCCCGGCGCGGCCGAGGGCCCCAGACTCCGCTCCGCGAGGCGACATGGACCGGATGACCAGCTCCATGAAGCAGGTGCCCAACCCCCTGCCCAAAGTGCTGAGCCGGCGCGGCGTCGGCGCGGGGATGGAGGCGGCGGAGCGCGAGAGCTTCGAGCGGACTCAGGTGAGGACCTGGGGACCCCGGGGGCACGCGTGGCTGGGGCATCCCTGAGACGCGGTGTGCCGGAGGGGCTTCGAAGGGAGCAGGGGTCTTGCCGCCCGAGGGTAGGACAGGGCAAGGGGACCGCCAGAGGGGGCATCTCGTGCGCAGGTCTGGGCGACCTGGGAAGGTCGGGGACCCGGGCATCCCAGCTGGCCTGGGAGAGAGGCAGGGCGGCTCCGAGGAGCTAGCGGGATCCGTGCGGCGCGGCTGACGGGAGCGGTCCCGGCGGGATAGCAGGGGCGGTGTCAGGGGGAAGAACTGAAAAGTGACGGAATGGAAGTGCCCCTAGGCAAGGGGAGTGCGTTGGAGAGCCACTTTGGGGCGCAAGTGTGGTGGCGAAGAGTTAGGGGGCTGGGCTGGGGATGCGAAAGGTCGCGGATGTGAAGGGGTCGGAGCCCTTTCCTCTCCTGTCGATCGCTTCTCAGTTGCATCGACACTCCCCCCTCGCCTATTACCCCCTTCCTGGTGCCTCCTGCTTAGCTCACACCACCCCCAGCTGTCGGCCCTCGGAGGCTGGGCCAGAGGGGTTTGAGCGGTGAGAAGGAATGTAGGAAATGCGAAGTGTGGCCCAGCTTGGAAAATAACTGGGGGCTGGAGGAGGGGGCGGCCAGGGCAGGAATGGAGGTGCTTGGCCCGACAGTCCAATGCCGGTAAGATGAGCTAGCTCCCCAGTGGTGCCCTGACTTGGGGTCCTGATTTCATCCCCCAAGATGTGCCTGACAGCTAATAGGCAGACTGCCCTACTTGTCCAGCCTGACCAGGGCTGGGGGCCAAAATTCCTCTGTGTCATCAACAAAAAGCCACAATCCATTTTTACCTAGCGTTTTAATGCCTGGTGTATTGATTTGACCGAATTAAGCTGACATGTTCATAATGTTCATCAGCTCGTTTGTATGCAATATCCATTTCAAAGGGTGCAGTACTTTTAATCCCAGTGCCAAAATTGTTTAGGCAGATTGGTTCTTCACTCCTCTCAGAGTGGAACCTTTGAAGATCCAGCTGGGCCTCCACTGCCAGAGGGCTGGTTTCCCTGCTCTGTTCTGCCCCCCCTCACCGCCCCCCCCAAAAAAAAAACCCTTTCAGATAGCAAAGATTGTGAGGACCTGACTAAGTGTTCTATATATGGAATCTTGCAAAGAATAAAGCTTTACACCTGGGGGACTTCATCCTTTTCCCTTCCCAGCCGCCTCTGGCCCCTCACAGGTGTGTCTGGATGATGTAAAGTAGGGCGTGTCCTCTTCCTGAGTCTTCCTACCCCAGGTGGGATGGGTGAGGTGGCCTTTCACTTATGCCTCTCAGGGTCCAGCTGGGTTCAAGGCTTGTTCTCTGGCTTTGTGGACTGGGCTGCTGAAAAGAAGGAAGCTTTCCATGCCCGTCTGCCTTGGGTGTGAGTGCCTCTACCAGTTGCCTGGTCACATGAGGCTTTTTGCCCCAGGAAACAGTGTGAATATTCTTCTCCTTTTTTCAGATGGAAAAGGAGAATAAATAGGTGTCATTTTATGATACTCCATTCCTTCTAGAGTCTCAAATAAGTAAAAACTGGAGCAATAAAGAAATAAAACTTTGACCCATTAGAGTGATAGAAATTAGGTTTGTGAAAGTTTCCACCTACGACTGGCATGTTCCCTCACTATCCAGGGACAGCCCAATGGGGAGAGTCTAGATTATTCTGTGGAATACTTGTAATTGGCTAAATTTGACCTAGTGTTGGGGGTAGTGGGAAGCGAGGAGGTAGTCTGGAGCAGGAAAAGGGAGTTTTTCTATTGGGGGTAGGAGAGTAAAAAAAAAGAAAACAATCCTAAAATTTCACATTAGTCAATCTGCAAAAATTTGTTTTGTTTAATGACTACCTATCAAATATATTATGATACATAAAAATAAGTTAGAAAAAATTTTTTGAGTGAAGAGACGGTGAGAATGAGCCAAGGTATAGTGATAATTGTAACTAATTAGTGTTTGGCACTGTTCTAAGTACTTTATTGTATTATCTTTAAGCTTTACAAGCACCTATTAGGTAGGGTATCAGCCACATTTTCCTGGAGGAAATGGAGGCCCAGAGAGGTTAAATAACCTGCCCAAGGTCACACAGTTGAAAGTTGCCTCTGACTACTGGGCAGAGCACTGGCATTGGAGCTAGAAGAGGTTTGAATTTTATGGCTGGCCCTGTGGCTAGGCTGTGTGGCCTGAGGCAAATTGTCTGTCCTTTCTAAGCCTCTGTTTCTTTATTGTAAAGTAAAGACAATACTTGTGGAGATTAATTTAAAGAATATGTGTGAAGGCATTTTGTAAACTGTGGAGCATTATTTCAGTGATTATTGCTATATATAATCTAACTGGGGAGATAAGACATAAGAAAGCAGTGTAAGTAATCGTGCAGGTTGTGATTAACGCTTCAGTAGAGGGACAGAGGTGTTACTAGGTAATGCGGTAATTACCAAGAGCACACACATAAAGTACAGGCTGTGTGTGGGGGTTGGGGGTGGGGAGGGATAGCAGCCCTCACCCAGGACCGAACCCCTTTCAGCATGAGTTAGCACTTGCCGGGTGGAGGGGAGAGGATTCCAGGAATGGGAATGGCATCAGGAAACACCTGGAGGTGAGTGTGGATGGCACGGATTGGCAGGGGTGGAGACAGGAGCAGAATTGGCCATTCCTACCTCCTGCCTGCTGTCAACTTTTCTATGGTGCTGTCAGTTAACTGTGAGCTTCCTGAGACAGGACTGTGTCTTGTTTTTGTCTGTGTCCTCAGATGCCCGAGGCTTGTGTCAGTGGTGAGCTGGTTGTAGTTGAGCAGAGAAAATGACTGGTTATCTCCAGCAGAGAAGCCCTGGCCTGGGTGGGTCACTCAGCTGTGGACTGCAGAGGACAACTGAAGTTATTTGATGTGTTTCCCTCCACGTTTTCCTCCTGGTTCAGCCTTGCCTCCTACATTGTCAGTCGGGAACCTGCCCCGTGCCCACCAGAGGGTTCTGATTTCTCTGCCTTTCTTCTGGTCAGGCCAGTGTCCTGGCGGAGCCCTCAGGCCATCCTTGTTTTCTCACTTCTGCCAGCTTCTTCTGGGAAGCCTTCCCTCCTCTGTTCTCCTGGCATCATCCTCACACTGCACACAGTCACTGTTCCTGCCAGAGTGGGGACCCCAGACCCACCTGCCACAGCGCCCATCTCCAACTAGACCCCTGGCGTGTCCTCCATCCAGTCTATCACAAGTAACCTTCAGGCTCTAGGAAAATGAAAAGTTGGTCTTGCTCTCAAAATAGCTGCTGTAACAGTAACCCCTTGCCTGAAGCACTTTGTGAAGCATGTTTTAGCCATCATTGGGCTCCATGGTGGTTAGGTAACATCTCCCTCACTTTATGGATGAGAGCTTGGTAACTTACCTCGGGCTAGTGGTTGGTGAATAACAGGGTTGGAATTCAGACCCAGGATTCCAGGTTCCAGGTCTCGGGCCCCCTCCACCACACTGTCCTCACATTGCCAGTTCAGGAGGGTGATTCGAAATGAACTAGATGGGCTGCAACTCACAGACAAACAAAATGCCCTGATTCTATTTACTTAGCTGGAAAGTAGTTTTCTCTATGGTTTGTTTATTCTTTTCAACATGCATTTAGTAAGCGCATACTGTGGAAGGGACAGGGAGATGAGGTTGATAAAGGAGACCAGCTCCGAGGAGCTCATGAGTCAGCGGGGGGTGGACCAGCCCCGCAGGGTTCCTCTGTGTCAAGGACAGAGGACCTGCAGCCCCAGCCTCACCGGAGTCCTGACCAGAGCAGGACCTGCTGAATCTGAGCCTGCATTTCAGCCAGAGTCCCAGTGGTCCTGTGCACACCTAAATTTCAGCAGCTCTGCTCTGTGGCAGGTGAATGCTGGGATCAGAGGGGAGAGGCTGGGGCTCTGGAAACACAGAGGAGCCTTTGGAAAGGAACAGTCTCTTCAGGTGGAGCCCAGCACAGAGTACAGAATCCCAGTGAATCACGTGTTTGGAAGGACCAGGAGATTTGGGTTCTTCAGAAGAAGAGACAGAAACAAGTATTTATTAAGGGGCTTCTGGGTACTAGAAACATGTTAGGTGATTTCTACCCATTTAATAGCTTGGACTGAGAGAACAAGTGACTTGGCCAAGGTCACACAGTGAGTCAAGAGAAGCCAGGGCTTTAACATCGGACAGCCAAGTCTTCTTCTCATGTTAAGTCAGGGTGTTTCTGCCACCTTGTTCACGATCTTCAGCAGATGCTCAGCTTTGGATTCATCAGCTGAGAGGTTTAAGGGTTGGCTGAGAGGGATCAGTGGTTCTCAACCCTGGTTTGTGGGAATGGCTTCTTACGTAAAAGTTACCCGGATCTCCTCCTTGCTCCCTTAGTTGGTATTGAAAATGTAGAAAGGACGCCAACAACTTCCTTCAGGTCCATGGTTTCCTCCCACTCATACTCATCATAATAGCCGACATTACCGCATTTACCGTGTGTAGTTGGTAAATGCCTCACATCAGGAGTGTAAACCCATTTTCACCAGGGGCCACGTCAGCCTTGAGATTGCCTTCAAAGGACCGAATGTATTTTCAACTCCTTAACTATTAAGGAGTAGTTACAATTACACAGTCCTAAAATTATTTCAGCCCTTTGAAGGCAACCAGGAAGCTGATATGGCCCCCAGTGAAAATGAGCTTGACACCCCTGCCTTACATGAGCCACTGCTTTCAATTCTTGCAACAAATTTATGAATTATAATCCCTATTTTATAGATGAGGAAATTGAGGCTTAAGAGGGGTTAATAACCAGCTCAGGGTCCTGAAGTAAGTGACAGAGCTGAGACTCAGACCCAGGGAAACCAGTCTCAGAGCCTGGCCGTACACAATTCCCGTCCCTGTGTGTCATTGCCTGACCCGTTCTGGCTGTCTCCCTCCTTCCTCCCACTAACTGTTGGGGTCCCCGAGGCACTGCCCTCACCCCACTTCTCTTTTATCTCCTATCCACTTCCTCTGCCCTCAGCACCATCCGCTGGTGTCTGGGCTCACCTCCATGATGCCACTTCCCCACATCTCCCCCCTGACTTCCTAGCCCGACTGACCACTTCCTATTGGACATCTCCCCCTGGGTAAACCATACGTGGCCCAAACTCCACCCTTCAGCCTCTTCAGTCTCTGAACGCCTGTGTCTGGTCCCCATCATCTCCTTGGCATCAGCTCTGAGTCCTCCCTCCCTCTTGCCCTCACAGTCCCATTCTGCCCATGACACTTCTCTTGTCTCTTTGCTTCTCACTGTTCCTGCCTTTATTACTTATTGTCTATGTTGTTGTAATCCCATCCACCCTGCCCCCTAAATAACCTGGTGCCAGATGGCTTGTCTCTAAAGCCCAACACTGCTTTTGTAACTCCCTCTTTTCGAGAATCTTTGATGGCTCCCCAGAGACCCTGCACGATGTGGCACAGCAGGGTCCCCAGTCCCTATCCTTCTCAGGCCTTAACTCACACTGCCTCCTTCCACTAGACAGCCCCTGAAGTCTAGTTTCCGCTAGATCGTGTGTTCAAGTGAGCAGGGCCCCTAGCTACTGTATGTCTCTCCATTCACCCGAGCAAGCCCACATCTTGGCTTCCCTTCTAGACTCTAAGCTCCTGGGGGCAGCGTCTGGTCCTCAGGGCCTTGCAATGCTGCCTGTTTGCCAAACATGTGAGTATGAAACAGTTGGAGGATCTACAGGGAGCCTGGGTACTAACGAAGGCAGGCCCCCTCTTGCAGAGTACTTTTCTTTTGCACATTTTGGAGATTCTCCCTCTTTCTCCTTTGGTTACTCCAGTGATTAATTCTTACTAAGTTTCTGCCCCATGTGCCCTGCCTGTGCACCCCGTGTGCCAGGGAAGTCCCTGCCCAGCTCCTGAGAGCTGGGCTGGAGAACCCACTTAGGAGAACGCCTACAGAGTCTAAAAACAAAATTTGGGCTGAAGATCAATTATTTGAATTTCTGTAGAGTTTGGAATACTTTATAAGCATTCCAAAAACATGGCCTTGGCCTTCCCAGGGCATCTTTCTTCTTTAGGTGGGACCTTTCTGAGCTAGAAGATATCACCAGGAAGGGAGACTGACTAGCACAGTGTCTCAGGCACCTGGGCGTGGTTAATGGCAGTGACCGTGTGCAGGGGCTGGCGTTTGCGGCAGGGCGTAAGAGATGTTGGGATGAGTTCAGAGGAACGTGAGAGCCCTCCCCTGGAGAATATCTGGCTGTGCTACTGAATGTCTTGTTTCAAAATGAGGAGGCTGGAAAAGATTTCTGAAAGTCCTTCCAGCTCTCCAATATTTTAGCTTATTTGAGAGCCTCCTGTCAACAGGCTTTCACACTGCGGAATAACGGTGTGCATTTCTTCTGAGCTTTCTCTGCTGGCTTGAAGAGAATGCCCCTTGTGTATGGAATGGGCCCGGGTCCTGGTGAGGGTACTGGTGACGAGGGGCTCAGGAGAGGATGCTGCTGCACCTCAGGAAGGGTAGGGAGTGGTCCTCCTGTATGGCTCAGGAGAGCAGATCCCTAGCGCCACTTGGGCACTGAAAGGGTTCCTTGCCCGTGAGGCACTGATGAGGGCCCGTTTATGTTCCCCATCCATTGGCACACTTATCCCATGACCTCGTGGAGGAGACCTGGGTGGGGTGTGGGGCGCAGCCTGGTGCAGCGGGCTGGGGCCAGTGCTTTGCCTGCATGCGGAGGGTTGATGGCCTGGAGAGATGCCCACCTACGAAAGGGAACTTGTCAGCCCCACCTCTTGGCAGAGTGGGAGCTGCTTCCTGTTTTCCTGCCCGGGCAGGCAGGGAGGAGCCCTGTTCCCAGCTGTGGGCTGTATGGTTCAGGGAGAAGGATGGGCAACGAAGGTGTCCTCTGGCTCAGACGTGGGAAGAGGACTGGGATCTAAAAGGTCGCTGCTGCTGTTTCTGCTGTCAGTGCTGTGGGGCAGCTCAGGAAGCTGGTGTGGCCGGTGGCTTCTGATGTAACAACAGCCAACACTGCAGTTATAAAGCACATTTACACACAACCTTTTTTTAGGTACAGCACAACCATGCAGTAGGTGGTTGGGGTCAATTTTCATGCGTGGACACTGAGGCTCAGAGAGCTGAAGTGACTCGCCTTAACAGCACTCAGGAAGTGGCTGAGCTGAGGCTTGAACCTGGTGACTCGGATCTCAGACTCTTCCTTTCCACATGTATCTCCCTTCAAAGCTGAAGCGTGGTCTGGGGCTTTGGGCTGAAGTTCAATTATTTGAATAACTTAGAAAAGGTACAGAGATTTTTTTCCCCCTAGGTCTTTCCCAATTGACTATTGGGACATTTGAAATTCCTCCCAGAAGAGTATTTTTGCAATAATCATCAAAGGGCCTGTATCAAGAATATGTAAAAAACTTATAAGAAAAAAAAAAGGGCAACGTAATAGAAAAATAGGCCGGAGGAACTTCACAAAAGAGGATTAACGAATGGCCAATAAACATAGGAAAAGGTGTGCAACTCCACGAGTAATCGGGGAAATGCAAATTAAATTACTGTGAGATCAAGATGGCTGAAATAAAAGTGAAAAATGCCTGACAGTGCCAAGCGTTGACAAGGACGCGAAGCAGGCAGACACCGGTGCCCTGCGATGCGGCCGTGCACTGGTGCAGCCGGCGTACGGCCCCATCAGTTTTCCAGGCTGTTTCGGAAAACTGCTTTGGAAAACAGTCTGGGATTATCCTAAAATTGAAGATGTACACGCTCAATAACCCAGCAATTCCACTTCTAGCTATATACTGAATAGAAATGCATACATATGTATCAAGAAGAACATTCATAATCATATTTTGTAATAGCCCCAGACTAGAAACAATCTAAAAGTCCATTGACAATAGAGAGATAAATTGTGACATTGTCTCTCATTGGGATACTTTACCAAAATGAAAATGAGTAAAATATAGCTATACTCAGAAACATGCATGAATCTTACCAAAAAAGGCAGCCCAAAAGGACACCTTCTGTATGCTTCCACTCACATCAGGCTTAAAAAACAGGCAGATCTCCCATGTGGATGCCCCCCAGGAGGTCACTCTCCCTGGGGCTCTGTCTGGGTGGCAAAAGGCAGCTCAGGACTCTGGCCCTTGATGAGCGGTCCATTCCCACAGTCCTGGAGAGAAAGCGGGGCCTTGAGTCCGCACCTGCATGTTCCTGCACCTGCTCAGAGTCCTGTGGACAGTGGCAGAGGAGACAAACCATGTAGAAAACATCGAGAAAAAAAAGAAAAACTAAAAATTAAAAATATTTTTTAAAATAGGCAAAGCTAAACCAGTGCTAAGGGGTGCTCCTTAGATGGGAAAACTGTAAAGAAGAGAGGGAACGGTCGTCATGCCACTCCAGGTGCAGGACTGACTCTGCGCGCGGGGAGGTGAGTGATTGGAGTGTGTGCAAAGGGATCTTGGAGGTGCGGCCACCAGCCTGTTTATTGGTCCAGGTGGTTATGAAAATTTATTAGCTGTACATTTTTGTTTTGTGTAGTTATTTCACAGTACAAAAGGTTGAAAACAACAACAATAACAACCTCTTCCTAGTGAATAGAAGACGGTGTTTGAGGAGGCTAAGGACCTGCCACGTATGCATTTGAGGTCTCTTTCGAATGCAGCCTTCCCTGTGAAAACATTTCTGACGCTGCCCTAGAACTGGAAAGCCTCTGATGTATGAATCATGCATACACAAGCACCTTCCGAGCACTGCTGTAACATGTAGCCAGGAAGTGGAGACCTGTCATTAACCCACACTTACCGTGTTGCCCTCGCTTCCATTCATTTGTCTTTCTGCCTTAGTGGCAGATGGGCTCTGAGTTCCTCACTCAGCGTTTAGCCAGCTTCCCCGCATCTAGCAGAGGGCTTTACATCAGCTAAGCCTCAGGGTGTCTGTGAAATACAAAATCAATTAGGTGGTAAAAAGTTCTCAAAGGAGAGACTGTGAGAAGAAAGTGTGTCTCCGGGCTCAAAAGAAGTACATTTGAATAAAACTAAAGACCTGATGGTGGACTTTTGGAACACAACCTGAAGTTTTAGTTCATGTTACAAAGATTTGGATCAAGTCATGCATAAGGAAGCTAGGATAAGCCACCCTGAGCATCTGGGAGCTTGGGGAATGTCACCTGGGAACGTGGCAAAAACGCCAACCTTCTAACGATGGTTCTTCCAGGTCTTTGGCTGTGTGGTGTGTGGAGCCAGCCCACAGTGCAGTTGCTCTGTGTGTTATGTCTTAATCCCCTGCCATACGCTCCCTCTCCCGTTTTGGCTGGAAGCAGTTGCCTTCTCTGTTTGGTCTTCCTTGGATGCATCTTGACCAATGACATATTCTCCCCTCCCATTTTCTGTAATACTTCAGAAAGCACAGGTATGAGCTGTGTGGTTTCTTCTCTGAGCAACGTCCAGGGTAGCTGCCCCTAGAGTAACAGGGCTCAGCCCAGGGCTCCGTGTCTCTGGGCTTGGCACTTGGTAGGCATCCACAAAATCTATGTTGAGTGCCTCGTTCATCTTATAACCTCGGGTTCCTGGCACAGTGTCTGCCCTTGAGTGACTCTTGTTAAGGGTATGGGGAATGAAGGATAAAGTATTTTGAATTAAGAACTGAATGAGCATCACCCATTTTTGGTCCCAGCTGGGAACCATGGACCCTGATGACCTAACTGTGAGCGTGGGTTCTCATGGGCACATTGGGAGCCACCAGAGGAACGCTAACGAGACCAGCTCTCTGATGTAAAGTGGGTGGTTCTCTGCGGACTTCCTCTTGAATGTCAACTCCCTGACTCATGCTGGGAAGTGACTTGAGATCTTCTGTTTCCTTTGAGATCCTTAATGTAAGCTGGGACTCCTCCCTGTACAGTCTAGGTCCATTCTTGCTGATAGGAAAAACCCAACACACTTAAACCTGAACTCCGTCTCTTGCCACAAACTTGACTGTCCTTTGTTCTCAGATTTTGAGAATTTCACTTTATAAACCATCCCTAGCCATTCCAGCTGAAATTCTCTCAGTCATCCCTGATGCCCATCTAGTCTGCCTGCACCCCTGCAGCTTGTCACAGATGCCTGGTGTTACGTCTCCCTGATTGCTCTGCATCTCACTTGCACTTCACCCACCGCGGCCTGTGCCTCCTTTCGGCCCTTCATCTCCAGCCTGAACTGTTTACGACACAGCCCTGCCGGCCTTCCTTCCCTCCAGTCTCTACCCTCTTGCGATCTACCCTCCCCTTGGCCATCTGAATTCTGTTTTAAAAGGCGTAACTGCTTGTATGATTTCATGTTTTAAAAACCTCTGTTTTTTATGCATTACTCCGAGCTGAAACCCAAGCCTGTTGGCATGACACAGAGCCAGCTTCGACGTCCTGCTGCTCTCCTCCTCTGCAGCCCAGCCTCACCCAGCCCTCGGCATTCTCCCAGCATAGGCCCGTTCCACTCCTTTGTGTTTTTCCAGGTAGCGCCATTCTTTTCTGCCTGGAATGCCTCTTCCACTCTATTCGCCTGCCAAACTCTTCTTCGTTGTTTATTATTATTTTAGATTTTATTTTATTTCTAGAAAGAGGGGAAGGGAGGGAGAAAGAGAGGGAGAGAAACATTGATCAGCTGCCTCCCACACGCACCCCAACCAGGGACCAGCCTGCAACCCTAGCATGTGCCCTGACCAGGAATCGAACCGGCGACCTTTCACTTTGCGGGATAATGCCCAAGTAGCTGAGTCACACCGGCCCTTTAAAGCAGAGAACGCTTCTCTGCCTGCAAGCAGAAGAAAGATGTGGCAGAGAGAATGCAGGTGTGACAAGGAGTCAATGTGCCTTTGCTGGCTCTGAGACGCAGGGCCCCCCCATGTGCCAGGACTAGAGGTAGACCGCTAGGAGCTCATGGGTGGCCCCTGGCTGACAGCCAGCAAGGGTACAGGACCTCGGGTTTCTGGCCACAAGGAATTAGACTATACCAAAAACTGGAATGACCCCAGAAGGGAATTTTCCCTGCACTTCCAGCAGGGAATGCAGCCCTGCTGACACCTTGATTTTAGCCAGTGAGATGGAGTTGCCCTTCCAACCTACCAAACTGTTAGATGAAACGTGGGCATTGTTTTAAGCTGTTAAATTTGTGGTAATTTGTTACAGCAACAGTTACACCTACTCTGGGATGATAACAGGTAACTTATGCCCTGGGGCAAGAGGCCTAGCGGGGGGGGCCCTGCCTCCCCGCAGGGATGGGCCACCCTCCCTCACCCGGAGGGACACTTGCTCCTTCATCTGTGCTCATTGTGGTCATGGACGGAATGTTGGACTTCCACGCTTGGCACTTTTTCACAGAAGTTTTATCCTGGAAAAACAATTCAGCAGCCTATTCAAAACATTCTTTCCTGCCGGGCCATGGAGTTCTTTCGTGCAGTTCCAAGTTTAAGGATCACAGATATAATCACTTAACCTTAAAAAAAAATTCTTGGTGGAATCCTGTGCTACTCAAAAAGGCAGGTGGAGAATCCCCATGTTACTGTAGGATCAGGATGGTCTCTGCTGGAAAGAGCTGACTTGAGTCAGGAAGCAGAGGTGACAATCCATGATGGGCTTTCCCCCAGCATGGGCCTGCTGTGTCCCGATTTTTACAGAGGTCCTGGTGGTCTGGAATGGTCCCGTGTTCCTGGGCTCCGCTGCAGAGCAGCCGGGAGCTCCTGGAGCACTGGGTTAAGAATCAGAAGCCTTGTTTCTGGCAGTGGTTTTTCCTTCTGCCATGGCCTGTACCTGCTATAGGTGTTCAGTCAGCCTCTATGAAATGAGGGGGTTGGGCGAGACTGCCCCAAAGGCCTGGAGGATTGGCGATTCTGGGTCAGTGCAGTTCTGGGGTAGCAGTCCTGTCGGGGCTGGCTGCCTCTTGACAACATGTGGCCCTTGTTGTTCCAGCTCTGCTGTCCTGATTCCCGGCTTTCCCGCCCCCAAGAGACCTTCCCTTCTGGCTGCAATTAGTTGTTATGGGGGACTTCTGTGTTGGCCAGATGGACCTGTGTCCCCCTAAGGAACTGGCCTCTCAGGGTCACTCACTCAGAAAACTCACAGTGCAGCTGGCTACCTCTGCCCAAGCACCGGCTGCTGCCTTCTGCTCAGGACTGTGCAGTGCTCAGGACAGACCACGTGCTGAGCACCTCTGCGACAGTCTTCTCATCCTGTGGTAGCCTCCCAGTGTTAGCCTGTTAGGCCTCGGCTGTACCATGTAAAAAGTATCATTTTCAGAAAAATTCTTTGACACTAAATCAGAGGCACATGGGATGTCTAAAATGATGCCGTTGCAGCAAACCTGTGGCCCAACCTACTAAATCTGTTGGACTTAGAGAACACTTGGGTTTCCGCATTCTCCACCACTCCCTGCTGTCTTCTACCACCAGCCTGCTTCATGCATGGCCCTCAGCTCCCTGGTTCCTGGCATTGTCTGAGGGGTGACCTCTGATTTAGTCCAGTTTCCCAGAAGAAAGGGAGGATTAGAAAAGAAAAATAACTTGCCCAGGGTCCACAGTGCACATCATTGCCTAGATCTGAGGCTGAGTCAGGCTCGTGTCTGGGCCCGGGTTGTGCCCCGAGACTGTAGAGGTGATGAGCGTGGGCTGTAGAGCCAGCCAGTTTACCTGCTGTGGGTCCCAGGCTGACTGCTCGCCAGAGATGCTGGCGACCACGTATGACTCTGAGTCAATGTAGTAAACAAACAAACACACCTAGCTCACAGGGTTGATGAAAGCATTAAGTGACACAATACATGAAAAGTGCCCAATACATCGTCTTCTATGTAGCAAGTCCTCAGAAATATCACTGTTATTCTCTGACGGGTTGTTAGTAACATCAAAGTTTAGGGGCAAGTGCGCTATTTGGCACAGAATAGGTCTCCTGGTTTATTTGCGCCTGATGAGGCCCGAGTTGAGGGTCGTCTAGAGGAGGGCATGCACTGGGGTTCCAGGTGCACTGTTGCTGAGGGCGGAGTGCACAACCACAGGAAGAATCACCGGGAGATCTCAGGATGCGTTTTCCTGGACCGAGACCCGGACACGCTGGCCTGCTGTTGCGCAGGGCCAAGGCTACCCCGTGGGCCCAGAGAAATCTGGATTTCTGGTTCTGTGGCACAGGGCTGGCTCGGAGATGACAGCTGAGATGACGAGGGCATGCAGAGAGGCTCGTCCGGTCTGGAAAGACAGAAGCTGAAGCAGGGGTGTGGGTGGGAGGGAGGGACACCGGCCCCGCGTCAGAATTCC